TGAGACAGTATGAATGAAAGTGTTTCACCAACAGATTGTGTTAAAGAGAGTCTTGCAGATGGCCATTAAGAGAACAATACTTTCCTCCTTTCACCAAATTATTGACAGTTGTTATGTTGTAATGTCTAGGAAATTAAGATTATAAAATACTACAGGGAGGCTCTTGTCCTGAGTTTGAATTTTAGTTTTATGATGCACTAGCTGAATAATCTTGGATCAGGTTAAAGAGTTGACAGGTCTAAGTTTTCTTGTACCCAAAGTGGGAGGACCTACTTCAGAGGACCATGGTGAAGACCAAATATGTGATACTATAGTGTTAAGAGCCTATTCTATTTATGTGTCTCTACTATACTATTTAATATTATGATATATACTAACACTTGCATAGTATATATGAAATCCTCAACAAAGTAAGATAGTAATACTATTTGTAGGCATATCATTTTATGAACAAAAATTAGAAATACGAATTTCAGGTAGCAGTCTAAAATCACATGACTAATAAGAAGGGAAGTTGTGACCCGAATCCAAGCGAAATAATGCCAGGTATTCCAGGGGTGATCCCTAAACACACTACCTACACCCTCTTCTTCCAATTGCCCCCTTTAAGCACTAATGTTCTTGAAATATAAGAAACATTTAACATAAAAGGTCCTTAAAATGTCAAATGGTAAAAGTATTCCCTTAATTCCATTACTACATGAGATTTTCATGTTTACATTATCTAAAATCCCTATACATTAGTTTTGCCTTAAACATTACAGTTTAGAGAGACTTCTCTAATACTCCAAACACACATCAGCTCTGATATCTCATTATATCTAGGGAAGCAGGATGGGAGAAATATTAAATAAATACTCTGCTTTATGAATTTCAACTAAATTAATTCAGATGGAATTAACCCAGTCATCTCTAATTCTTGATTCCCAGTGAGCATCAAGGCTTAGATACATAGTCACTGCTGCTTTCCAGGTGGTCCAACTTATTGACAGATTAAGCACATCCACACTTCTGTCAGTAGTACAGGTGAGCTAAAAGTTGAGTTCTAAAAATTCAACTTTTTGAACATGGCTAATACCTTATTTAGATTTCTTAAAGAAGCGTGTGTTAATGTATTACAAATACCAACTAAATAAAATCAGCTGAATGAATACTGAAGAAGGTCTTATGTTTATGCTAAAAAAGATGTAGATTATCAGTGTTATTTCTTTTTTGTGATTTTATAGAAGACAATTACCAATGTAAGTGATTTTGTTCTAGTCATTCACTAATACATTCTTTAAAATTTTTGTTTTTTACTTAGGTGGATAGAAGGATGGTTTTTCTTCACTCAATAACTACTTCAACAAATTTAATACATATTTGGATGAAAAGTAGAAATTTCCACAGCCCAGTGTCACATACAGAGATAATGAAATAGCTTTGCCATTAAAATTTTGATTCAATTTCTCCCTGGAATGTGTTAACAGAAACCACTTTTATTTTTATAGCTGAGAAAGAGGTGATTTGTTATTGTGAGGGTTTAGGCAGATTCCAAACTGTAATAGCTCTGGAGTTTCTCAAACTAAGTAGTGAGAGGCCATGAATTCGAAATACTGACCTCTGGCTGACATTGTACACTGTTCCTAAAACTTTGCTCTAATTAACAATATCATTTGCATGCACACTAACACAGTATTAAGAGTATTTTTCTTAAAAAGAAAACTTATTGATGTTTAACTATATTACCCCAAAATAAAATTACTAGATCATAATATATGCTTAATTGTTACGTGAAATATATAAGTTTGGAGAAACTAAATCACAAGGATCCCTAAAATAGAAGCCCAAAATGTCAAATTTTAGAACTAAGGGAAAAGACGTTTCTCTATTCTAGTGAAATACAGTTACTATTTCCCGGAGGTATGATGAATTAATCCACTACTGAAGAGGAGGATTGGTCTAACAGTCACACTGCATACCTATTCCAAAGTAGGCCATTGATAGCTTTTCATGAGAAAAGATATGTGTTACATAAATTATCAAACTTTAATTACCCAGTAGACTCATGGAATTTGTGCAATGGAAAGTTCCATGGAGATTATCAAGTACAGTTTTCTCATTTTAGACAACTAAAGAGGTAAAGTGACTTATCCAAGGTTGGAAGCAAGAGAGTAGCAGAGGAGGCCTAAGAATCCACATCAATTATTATTTTGTTTTCTCAAGTGAAATGATGTCACTTGCTAAGTGTAAATTTTTTGGTTTATAAATACACAACATGGGTCTATGTGTAGCATTATATAGTTATGCATATCATACACAGACTGAAAAAGAAGGACTCAGGGATTCAAGAACCCAATTCTCAGTCTTCTGCAAAGAATGGGAACTCAGCACTCAAAGATAAGCAATTACAAATATTTCAGATTTTTGAATTACCCATTTATTTTGAAACACATTTATTCTACACATATTAAAAGTAAGATAATAACCGCATTTTTTAAATATTGCATTTTGTATGACCTTCAGAACATAACATAATGTATATTACTTATATATTATAATGTATATTACTTATATAATGATACAAAAAATGACATTCTGAGTGATGCCTACATACTGTACACCAATTGCAAGGTGATATAAAAAGTTTTAGTCATTTTGGGAAAACATTCAAATTCATCTTCATTATTCTTTAACCAAGTCTATGTAATACACAAATTCTTTACTAGGATACTTGAGCAGACAGAAATAAGAAAGATGAAAGAAATCATGTCTCTCCAACTCAGATATGTAAAACAGTGGGAAAGGAAATCTTATGTGAAAATAATTCTGAATGAAATGATCATCCATATTTGTTTTTCTTAATAAAGTTTGAGAAATCTATGAAAATGACATTTTGATCTTAAATATCATTTATCCTTTCATTAATTAAAATTAGGCTAAAACTTTATAGTATGCACATAAACTATATAAGATGTGTTCGTCTATTCATTTATATTTAATCTTCAGCAAGCAAAGAGTGCAGTCAACTTAAATCTTGTTTTGAAGGTTGTTTGACTCTCAAATTCACTTTAAGGTAAATCATATACAGACTTCAAAATGGAGAGGCATTATTGCTTTTTTTTTTTCCTTTTCTACCAACTTTTACACATTAAGGGTGATTCTTCCTTAATGTGATTATCAAAATTTTACCATGTACAAATACTTCCTGAAAAACTCCACAAATCACATATGGGTTTATATTGATGCTTAAGAGAGAGCACATTCTCTCCATACTATTAACTCAGTGTTGGCCTGGAAAAATTCTCATGTTATAAAATACAAAATACAAGAAAAAAACTGTTCACACAAACCAGTACAGCTTTTAATATAAGTAATAAGTAAAAGAAACAATAAATAATTTCATAAAGGTTAGCAGCCCTTGGAAGGAACTACAAGTTCTTTTTTGAGAGAGGGAATATTTGTGCTCCTGGAAAATAAAATAAAATATAACCAATACCAGAGTAGGTGTCATCACAAAATCCATAGTAAATACCCTCAACATGAGAAGACAAGGGATGACCACACATCCTCCATGAAATAAGACAAAAGTCCCTCAACAGAGCAATGAATTCTGAAACTGTTCCATGTAGCTGGAAGTCTCCAAGAAAATAAAACCCAGTGCATTAAAATGGGACGTCCCAGTCACATTCAGCAGGTAAAATAACACACACTAATAAACAAAGAACCCAAACCAAGCTACTGATTTCATGAGGATGGATAAAACAGAGTCATTTTTAAAGAGCAGTGACCATTTCCAGAATTTAGATTTTATCCTCTTCTTAGAACTACAAAACAAATGTTTCCCTATGAGAAGGCTGCAAATGTAAATGCATTTTGCAAACTTCCTTTAAAATTACTTCAACAAACCCTGCTTTCCACCCACCGTCACCTTCCCCCTCCTTTCAATGAGTTACAAATGTAGGTTTCTGGTAACCTACATCAGAGTGACACACTTACTTTAATTTGGTGTTTGCTATCTGTAAAGCAATCTTGTTTATGCCACATTGTGGCAGCCATTCTCTAGAGGGCTGGATTAGTTGTAGATGTAAATACACTGATAATGTGCTTTGTTCAAGTTTAAAATTTGAAGCGTGAAGAATCCCAAAACATAAAACATAACTACGCCAAACATCATCGGGCAATGCTTTCATAAATTACACTGCCAACTTTACAGAAAGGAGTGGCTGAATGCAAACGTACTCTCAAATGTATTCTGAGTAGTAAGAAAATAAGTCTACATTTACTCAGCGAAACATTCAGCCTAGGAAAAGATACAAGCGAGTACACACTTATTTTTCAAAAAGAGAGAAGACTATTAAGAACAAGAGAATGAGCCTCTAATGAGCATAAAAAGCAACACTTGAAAAACAATTGGCTATTTGGCATCTATGTCAAAATCTATCTGTCATAGGAGTTGGAGATTCTCTTTCCCTTAGCCTCTCTGTTAGAATGTAAAATGGGTAATACTATAAACAATTCTAGAGACAATCATAAAAATCTTGTCATTGTTAGGCTACAATCTTAAACCATAGGAAACTGTAAATGCATATCATTCCCATTTGATGAATGTATCTACATAGCAAGAAATAAGTGCACTTTGCAACATAGTCAAAATCTGCTGACATAATAAAAGGGGGTGTTAAACATAAAAATCTAACATTCATACGGACTAAATGATCTCAAAATAAGCAGACATATCCATTATAAACCATTAATTTCCTGATTATTGTTTCTAACATTTTGATCCAAAGTGCTCCTCTAGTTTTAATGTTCTTTTGCTGTGAAAACATTACTGCAACTTGAAAAAAAGTTTATTTTATTAGTCTTCCCTATGTTGAAAATCCTGCCTCTCTTCCTCTCCACCCCAGAGTCACATTTCTCTGATCTCATTTTCAGGTGCCTTTTAACATTCACTTAAATAATTTTTTTTTTTGCTGCAAAACAGAGATTTTAGAAGTCACTAAAAAGCACTCCCTTACCTTCTAAACCTGCTTCAATCAGCCCAAACTGTTCCAATAATTTAACAAAAAGCACAATGACGATCAGAACTGCTATCATTTCAAGCCCTTCCAAGTTCATGGTCAGCTAGGTCATGGTCCGACCAAAGCCACTGAGAAGTGCTCCTCTGACTGGCTTTCTTTGTAAAGCCATTAAACTACATTAAGAAGGCTACTGCCGGAGAGGGAGGAGGAGAGCGTGAGAGAGGAAGAGAGAGAGACAGAGAGGGAGAGGGAGAGGGAGAGGGAGAGAGAGAGAGAGGTTGAGAGAGAGAGAGAGATAGGAAGGAGGAGAGAGAGGAGGGAGAGGAGGGAGATGGGGAGCCGGAGAGAAAGGGCGTGAGTGAGAGAAAAATGCATTCATCCCGTTTGCTGGAGCAGAGGCCAGCAGGGGCAGCCGATAAAGTCAGGCCTGTCAAAATTATCAGCTTCCTCGTTATCACTCTTACACAGAAGACAGCCACGCATGGAGTAACTCGCAGATCACCCGAGGACCCGGGAGGTCACAAGAACTTCCCGAGGAAACGCGATGCTGGGCCGAGCTGGCTGGGCTGCCCGGGACTACGCGCTGCACGCCGCTCCCGCTGCTGCTCCCGCCGCTGGCTGGTTGCCTAGGCAACAGCGGGAACTGACAGAGGGCCGACTCTAGCCTCAGACCCATCCCAGCACCGAGCACTTTGGTTTGCAAAAACACGACACCCGAAAACGCTGGAGGCAGTGCCGCGCACCGTAGAGCTGTCGCAGAAACAGGAAAATCAAAGTGTGTATTTCACTCCAACGAGCTGAGTGTGGACAGGAAAGAGGCTTGAGGGAGTCCTTCATTATTGACTTTCTTCTTTTCAGTGAATTGCCTTACCTAATGTTCAAGTCTCAGTCACTGGGAACGAAGATGCTGGTTTAAGTAACGACACTGATTCAAAGCATGAGTGTGATGAACTAATGTTTTCTTAATTTTGTACCAAAGTCCCAGATGTGAAACACCTACAAACACTTAAACATAGAAGATAATATATAATTATAAAATAATTATATGATTACACTATAATAGGATGTTAATAATATTAATGTAATAATATGTAAGAAAAAGAAACTTTAGATTTTTACCTCCAATCTATTTTAACACACCTATGTCAGTGTCCTTGAAATATTCATAGAATTGAAAACTTGGGACTTAATGTGTTCATAATACTTTAGAGTTTACCAGCTACCTCCTTATGTCTTTGTCCATTGGTATTCAAAACACCAATATATACACATATTGTAATATGTAATTCCTATTCTTTTTATAAAAAATTCGATTTAAATAATTTTGGAGCCATAATACTTTGAGGGGGCGGGAATAGAGGCTTGTTGAAGTTTCTGTCTCTCTCTTGCACAACTTTCATTACTTTTTCTTCCTCCTGTACTTCCCAAATAGATTGATCAAGACCGCACTAAAACCTTGGACTGAAGAAAAAGTAAAAACAAGAGCTAGAAAGCTTCTTAAAAAGCTTCATAGGTGAGCAAACTGAGGGCCAAAGAGAGCTAAAGAGATCAGGCAAAGACAGACACCCTTCACACTCAGTTAGCTGGCTTTTGAGGTGGTGCAGCAGAATGGTTCAGAATATGAACTCTAGAGCCAGACTGCTGGGATTCATGTCTAGGACCTCTTATTAGTGATGCGTCTTTTGATAAGTTACTGAATATCCCTGGACTTAATATCCTCCTCTGTAAAAAGGGATATGATAATAGCATCAAGTTCAAGAGACTATTGAGAGAATTAATGAATGAAACTTTTGGAAAAGAGCAACCTGCTCAAACAGTACTAGCTCTCAGTTTTATTAAAAATGTTTCCATGCTCCTTCTCAAACTTTTCAGGGTTGCCAAAGTAAGCATTCTGAAATTCAACCCTCAGATTATTCTCATAATCAAAAACCTTCTATGGCTCCCTGTTAACCTACTGAATGAAGTCAGAACTCCTTCGCAAGGCATCCTGGTCTCCCAGTACTCAGGAATTGTACTTCACTGGTCCTACTTCTGTCCATATACTCTACTTGACATATCTGCTCCTTATTCCAAACTAATTCAGGGCATCTCCATCCCCAGGGTTTTGTTCAACTAATCTATCTGGAGAAAACCTTTCCACATTTCTGCCTGTCAAGTTCCTAAAACTCTCATGAAAATTCCACAACCAGTATTGGAAGAAATCTCTTCTTTTTTGTATTTTGATGGTAACTCTGTATTATAGTTGCTTGAGTGTACATTCTGTCCTCTAAATGGTGTTTTGGAAGACAGAAATCATGTTTTTCTTGCCTACCTAACAAACCCACAATGCCTACATGGGGGACAATTTATACTCCATAGATTTGTATTGAATAGGAATAGTCACCATTGATCAGGCACAAACATTGCTTTCTCCTAGCCACTCTGGAAGTATTTATAGACAAGACTTACAGAGAAAACACTAAGCCTCAGAGCATTACAGCAGCATTTTCAAGGTCATACTGCTGATGAATGGTCACACCAAGATTCAAATTCTGATTTGTTTAGCACAAAGCCTGTTATTTCTTGCCATTATTCTACACAGCTTTAAATAAGTTAAAAATCCAAACCATGGTATAAGTACTTATTAGCACAAGATGAAGGTTATACCCCCAAATGATCCTTCCAGACTGCTTTGTGACATTCTAATTAATCCATTAACCCCAGTAACTGTGGAACATGAAGTGTTTCCAAACTAGTATTTAATTGAATCCATGGTTCTTCCTTCCTGATCATTCACAGGAATATTATTACTGAAACTGTATCACCTGTGGTCTCCAAAAGAGTTTTTTTCTGTCTTTTTACCACATTGAACTCTGTACAGTCATGTAGCATGTCCCAGAAACAAATGTCAATGGTCGAATCCTATGTGTTCACCTGTAAAGTTGATGTTCGTGGGTTACAGAAGGTGTGTAGGCAGGGAGCTATTGAAAAAAAAAAAAAAAAAAAAAAAAAAAAAAAACCAGAGTGAGTGAGAGTCTTGCTGCTCTTTCTGGATGTCACAACTGTGGGTCCCCTTGGTGCTGTGCTGTTCTTCCAGGCCTGGCAGTCTCATTTCCTTATGCATACTCATGACCTTGGACATTTGCCCTTGCTGTTTCCTCTATTGGGATACTTATCCCAATATAAGATCCCATGAATCAGTGACTTTATTCAAATATTGGTTTCAAAATCCCCACAACAGAGAGGCCCTTGCTCACCACACTACATATTACCACACCCCTTCTCCTGATCCTGTGTCACTGTGCTCTGTACCAGCATTATGTCCTCCAAAGTACTGTTATTACCTGGCATATATATTTCTTAATCAAATATCAACTTCTACTAGAATTGCTAGAATTCAGAATGCTGCCTTTGAGGGCAGAGAGTTTGTTGGTCTGTTTTTCCAATTTGATTCACTGTGGTATTCTCAAATGGAGAATAGTGCCTGGCACCTAAGAGGCAGGGACTAGTTATTGAATGAGTTATCTGACTGTACTCTTTCCTTCCCTAAAAATCCCCTTGCTCTCTAACTGATCCAGCAGAACCTGCTCCTCTCTTATCAAGAGTATAAAATTATCTTGTGAGTTTTCTGTACATTCTATCAGGAGGTCCCACTCCAAGGCACTGAGGAATCTGGGAGCGAATTTTTTGGGCTTCTCCTTAGGATGAACCATGAGTACTTCACACTGTGACAACTTGGCTGTGCTCGATCGTCAGTGTATAATGTGAATGTGATTTACAGTTCCAAGCAAAGAAAGCAACACAAAGAAGGTGTCAGAGAAATTCTCCCTGCCTGTCCAAAACATCTTCAAAACATTGGAAGGTGGAAGTACCTTGGACAGCACCCATTTCCATCCCTTAATTTTCAACTGAAAAACATTGCCTTTAAATAGTTAAAGTGACTTAGCCATACATATGCAACTCTTATTTGAGTCACAGCTTGAAATCAAACTAAAACATTACCCCAATATATATTTTATTCCTTTAGAGCCTTGCAGTCCCTTTTATAAGAGAAAGAGTATCAACAGAAAAAAGAGAACTGAGCACTGATTCAAGAACAGACCTCATTCAAGTTATCTTAGATCTCTGAACTTCAGTTTGCCAGTCTTAAAAACAGCCAATATACCTCACTCAGGGGACTTTTGTAAGGATAGGTTCAATAATATCTGTAAATGTTACTTAATCTCTATGAGTATGTTTTGCCAAACAGTGGATGAAATACATGGACCATCCCATTCTTAAAATCACTCTTTGAGCATAAGAAAGACTTTCATTCTCATCTTACAAATGAGGACATGGAGACTTGGTAAAAGTTAGTGAATTATTTCAGGTCTCCAAATCAGAAGCCAGTGAAGCTGACAGGTATCTACTGTCATGACATGCCTCATTAAGTACTTAGAAATGGCCAGGTATGCACAAAACACTTAATAAAACATACAGGGATAAGGAACCAACACCTAATTTTTACTTTTTAAAAAATGATTATTTCTAAACAGATGAAATCTTAGACATGAGAAAGTTCTATGACACTTCCTTGTGAGTAGATAGGGATGGGAAGGTATTAGTACAAGATGGTGGTGAGAGAAAAGGGATGTTGTTATGATAGTTTAAAAATATTCTATGTGAAGTACTTTCAAGAGAGTAACAGGGGGTTGGAGGCAGATCCAGGCTTCACTGTTTAAAGCAGTTCCCACAGAGCTATTTGGGCCCTTCTGCTTTAGCTCCACAGCCACATGAAGGTCATTCTTTGCCTGTCCCCAGAAAAAATGAACACACTTAATTAGAGATACTCTTACATTTGCACTTCAGAGCATATCCCCAAAGTGCAGTTTATTCTAAATCACCAGTTATTGGCAGTAATAAACCCATTTCTGCTTCATTTTCAGAAACAGGGCTTCTGGAAGAAAAAGAGTGTTTCCTTCCAAAATGAGAGGCAGAGCTGCCCTTTGATGAACTGAGGCAGGGAACAAAGAGATTCTGGTTAGTTGTGTCTTTCTAATTCCATGTTGAGGATGTTGGAAGGTGGAAGTACCTTGGACAGCACCCATTTCCATCCCTTAATTTTCAACTGAAAAACATTGCCTTTAAATAGTTAAAGTGACTTAGCCATACATATGCAACTCTTATTTGAGTCACAGCTTGAAATCAAACTAAAACATTACCCCAATATATATTTTATTCCTTTAGAGCCT